GGGGTATTCCGTCCCTCTCCCTTCCTCCACGTCCCAGAAACTGTGCCCTAAGCCGGAAGGGTTTCCTCTGAAAGGGCTGCGATGACATCTCTGGGCCTCCATAGATGATAATAAACCCACTAGGTGGCCAGATTGCAAGTCCAGGCATCCAGCTACTATAAATAAAGGGGGGCCAGGTGGCAGAGAGGCCCCGAAGCCGTGGAAAAATCACACAGGACAGGCCACACCAAAGGGAAGGCCAGTTCAAATGGGGCGGAGGGGGGGGCATCCAAAAGGGGCCACGGAGGCCAAATCATAAGATGCAATACTCAGGGAAAGACATATGATACTAAATAAAGGCAATCCACATACAGTAAATCATATGAGCTGTGTTGGCGCAGTGGTTAGAGTGCAGTAGTGCAGGCTACTTCTGCTGACTGTCGGCTGCCTGCAATTTGGCAGATTGAATCTCACCAGGCTCAAGGTTGACTCAGCCTTCCGTCCTCCCGAGGTGGGTAAGATGAGGACCCAGATTGTTGAGAGCAAGAGGCTAACTCTGTAAACCCCTTAGAGAGGGCTGTAAAGCACTGTGAAGCGGTATGCATTTTTCGGAGTACAAGATGCACCAAGATTTTGAAGAGGCAAATTAAGAAAAAAGGTTTTGCACTCTGCAGACCTCCAAAAAACAGCCCGTTTTTCGCAAAAACAGGCCCATTTTAAGGGGCATGCATAGCCTTTAGGAGGTTTATAAAGTGCTCCTGGGGGCAAAAATGAGCAAAAAGGGGCCCATTTTTTGCTCATTTTGCCCTTCCCAGCCTCCAGGAGCACTCTGGAAGCCGCCCAAATCCTCTGCACATCCATTTTTGCAAAGGGGGCAGGGTTTCGGGAGACCAAAAATGCTGTATTCAGTGTATAAGACACCCCCAGATTTTCACCCTCTTTTTTGAGGGGGGAAAAAGTGCGTCTTACATTCCAAAAATACGGTAAGTCTAAGTGCTATTGCTATAAGATACAAACAACAAAGTTATAAGATGCTAAAGGAATAGGAAAGATGAGAAGGATAATAGTAACACAGCACTGCTACGTGGTTTGACATCCCCAGGTATAAGACTGCTGTGGGGATTAGTTGTCTAGCTGTGGGATGACATGGGTGTGTGTGTGGGTGTGTGTGTGTTTGTGTGTGTGTAGCTGTCCTTGCATCTAGTTGTTTGGAGTTAAATCTTGATTTCTCCATGGAGCAACTAATGTTCCTCTGGGGTCCAGCAAAAGCCTGCTTCTTCCCTGACTGATCATGGTTAGGATTTGCAAATCTTGTTTTGTGCTCTGGCAGCCAAACCAGGAAGCGGAATCCTTGCCAAGAGCTTGAGTCTTGTTCAAGATTTCGCCTGGTCCGGTGACCCAGGGTAGCTGAGGCCCCACAACCTTTAATAAAAGGTGGAAGGGCCGATTCCAGAGGCATGGAGATCTCCCTCCCTCCCTCCCTCCCCCTCTTCCTTCCTTGATAGATGTTTGCCCTGGGAAGTCAACTTTCCATCCGAACCTCTTCTGCTGGAGGCACAAAGGGAAATCTGTGATTGAGTCATGGCTTTGGCACTTCCTGCCTGGGAAAAGGACGAGGGGGTGGTAGTGGGAGAGAGCCACCCACCCCTCAGCAGAGAAGGACCAGGGACAAGATCAGCTGCCCTCTTGGCCCCCAGCAGCAGACACACACAAACACACACACACGGTTTTGCCCGTGGATGGTTAATCTCTGTAGCATAATATGCATGTACTTTGCACTTAAAAAGAGAAAGAGAGAAACCCCAAAGGCTGCCTTTGCACAATCAGCCAGCCTTGTAATTGGAGAAGGCGAAATTATTCACAAGGAAAACGAACCAAAACGAACCGTGGATGGGTTATTTTAACCGTAACCCGGTTTACGAGACTGACTTATAAACCCTAAAAGAAGCTGAATCCACACGACTCAGAAGAGTCCGAAATCTATCCAGGGTTTAGTTTAGTCCAAAAGAAAAGAAGGACTCTTGTTGTTGTTGTTGTTGTTGTTTTTCTCCTAAGAATAAAAAGGAAGATGGTCTTGGTGCTTTTGTGGGACTTCCAAAGGCTTTCGTTGGCTTATTTGTTTGTTTGTTTGTTTGTTTTAAAAAGGGACACAACGTATAGCCGCCTGCTTTAGGGAGACCTTTGTCTTCCCAGAGAAGGGATGAGAAAGAAAGGGGGAAAAAATTGGGAGGGAGGAAGGAAGTTCAAGTAGACGCTGAACTTCAGAGGATTTATACTTGAAACTGAAAGCAGTGGGGGGAAAAACCCACAGTCCTGATTATTCCCATGCCGTGAATTGTCCGCAGGACTGCATACATTTCATAATATTTGGAAAAAGGAAAAAATAAAAAGCTATTTTATTTGGAAGAGGGGCAATGGAGAATATGCTAGCGGCCTCCTGTGTATTTCCATGCTTTTCCAGTCCGTTTGGCAGGCTTTCTTGAGGGCTGCTGGTCTGACATGGGGTACAGGTCATCATCGGCTTACAACTAGTTGCTTAATGATGGTTTCAAAGTTATGACAGACCCTGAAAATGGGGTTTACAACCCAGATTCAAAGTTCCAATGTCCCCACAACCCCCGTAGTCACATGACCACATTCTAGGTCCACGATGGTGAAACTTTTTCGCCTCAGGTGACAAAAGCACATGCACATCTGCTATCGTGTGCACCCACGTGCCCAGCCCCATAATTTAATTCCCCCCCTGTGCCGTGCCCCCTGCACATGTGCTTGTGACACACACACACCCCACTGCCCTACGCATTCGTGCACGGCTTTCTTCAAGCCTGGGGAGGGCAAAAATGGCTGCCCCCGCTCCGGAGGCCATAAATGGCCCGTTTTCCTGCTTCCGGTGGGCCTGGTAGGTCCGTGTTTTGTCCTCCCCAGGCTCCAGAGGCTTTCTAGGAATCTGGGGAGGGCAAAAAAAACGGCCCAGTACCAAAACCGGAAGTTCAGGAACAAACTTCCGGGTTGCCCATTGGGCCATCTTTCTCCCTCCGGAAGGCGAAAAACAGCCCAACGCACGGAAACAGAAGTCCGTTGCTGGACGGACTTCCGGAGGGCGAAAAATGGCCGAAAATCAGCTGGCCAGCACGCGCATGTGCTCTGGAGCTGACAGGGCAACGCCTTCCGTGCCCTCAGAAACGGCTGCACGTGCCACAGGTTCACCATCACGGTTCTAGGGGCTCAGTAACCAACCCGCATTTACAACTATTTGCAGCCCCTTGTGGTCACATGACTGCAACTTACATCACTTTTGACCGGACACTGGTACAGGTCGCCCCAGACTTAACAACCGTCTGCTTAGTGACAGTTCGAAATTACAACAGCCCTGAAAAAAACTGACCTATGACCATTTTTCACCTTTATGACCATTGCAGTATCCCCATGGTCACTTGTTTTATATGCGGAGGCTTGACGACTGACTCACATTTATGACGGCTCCAGTGTCCCGGCGTCATTCAATCCCCTTTTTGTAAGCTTCTGACCAGCCAAGTCAATGGGGAGATCAGATTGACTTAACAACCGTGTGACTAATTTAACAACCGCAGTGATTCGCTAAACAAATATGGCAAGAAAAGGCATAAAATGGGGCAAAACCCCACTTTACGAATGTCTCACTTAGCAAGATAAATGTTGGGCTCCGTTGCGGTCGTAAGTTGAGGATTACCTGAATTAAGATCACACGAAGCAACAGTGCCACTTTTGGAATATTAGCTACAGCTCTGGTCACCATGATAAGAAAATAATGGTGGAGGAGTGCAGAGAAAAGCAGCAAAGATGTTTAGTGGGCTGGAGGCTAAATGAACAGTTGCAGGAACAAAGTGAAGGATTAGGAGTGACATGATAGCATCGTCCAATATTTGAGGTGCTGTCGTGGAAAAGAGGGGTTCAACCTATTCTTTAAAGGCCCTAAGGGCAGGGGGAGAAGAAGTAAGAGATGGAAGAGCCTGAAAGAGAGAAGCAACCTAGAACTAAGGAGAAATGTCCTATCAGTGAGAAGAATTAACTTGTGCTCATCTCCAGAAGTTATGGCTGCTCCATCACTGGAGGTTTTTAAGAAGAAATGACAGCCATTTGTCTGGAATGTTATATAGCATGCTGGCTGGGGAATTCTGGGAATCGAACTCCACACGTATTAATGTTCCAAGGTTGTATACCCTTGGTATAGGGTCCTCTGCTTCAGCATGGGTTGCATTAGAAGACCTCCAAGGTCCCTTCCAATTCTTGTTATTTTGTTATTCACTCTAGTCCAGGGGGTCTCCAATCTTGGCAACTTTAAGACTTGTGGACTTCAATTTTGGGAGTTGAAGTCCACAAGTCTTAAAGTTGCCAAGGTTGAAGACCCCTACTCTAGTCTATAGTGTTTGCTTGGTTGATTTGGATTTACTTCAGTGTGCAAAAACACAATGTAGAGTAGAGTAAGTAGTAGAGTAGAATAATAGAGCAGAGCAGAACAGAACAGAACTGAAAAGAACTGAATAGAACAAAACAGAACAGAATGGAATAGAACTGGAAGGGACCTTGTAGGTCTTCTAGTCCAGCCCCCTACTCAAGCAGAAGAGCCTTTACCTTTTCAGACAATTGACTGTCCCGTCTCCTCTTCTAATGAGTTAAGCGTTGGGGTTTAGCATGTTGTTGAACTTGGCTGCAGTGGTTTGCTTAAGGAACCATAGTATGCTTCTTGCTCGTGGGGTTGGTTGGCTTGTGACTTGGTGCGATGGGCCCACCCTCCTTCAGCCTTGTGGTCTGCCAATGGTGGTGTAGGTCCTGTGCGTTGTCGTTGTCCTCCAATGTCATGGCACCCTTGTTGTGCATTGACAATAAAGGTTTGATTTGGGCCCGCTGAAACCGACTGAGCTGCTTTGAACGCATAGCTGGCCTGACGTGAGCCCCTTCGCCTCTTTCTTGCAGAACGTGCTGGCCAAGGCCCTCTACGACAACGTGGCCGAATCCCCGGACGAGCTCTCCTTCCGCAAGGGGGACATCATGACGGTGCTGGAACGCAACACACAAGGCCTGGACGGCTGGTGGCTCTGCTCCTTGCATGGCCGGCAGGGCATCGTGCCAGGCAACCGCCTCAAGATCCTGGTGGGGATGTACGACAAGAAGCAGCTCCCGGGGCCCCACCAGGGGCCCCTCCAGCCTTTGCTGCCCCAGCCCGCAGGACAAACCCCACTGGCCTTTCCCCAGCAAGGGGGCTACACCCCTCTCTCCCCTGCCTCTCAGTACACCCCCATGCACCCTTCCTACCTCCCCCAAGAGGACAACGTCTACTTAGTGCCAGCGCCCAACAAGACCCCAGGGCCCCCGGGGCCCTTCCAGTCTCCTGCCGGCAAGCAGATTTCCGCCTACGCCAAGCAAAGTCCTTCTCAAGGCCAGGATGTTTATCAGGTGCCAGCCGGGCCGGCCTGCCCCTCCCAGGACATTTACCAAGTCCCTCCAGCCCCCTCCGGCCTGGGGCAGGACATTTACCAGGTCCCTCCTTCCCTGGATGGCCACGGCTGGGACCCCCCCAAAGCCCAAGGCAAGGTAAGTGGCCGAGACGGGGGCATCTGGGGCTCCGTGTCTTTCGGTTCCCACACCAGTCAGTACAAAAAGAAAACCCTCATCCACCAGGGGTGAGGATTGGAGGTGGGGGGGCAGGAAGCAGGTGTGGCCCAGCTGGGCCTGCAGGGCAGCCTGCTGGTGGGTGGGCTGGCAGCAGACCCTCCCTCTCTGCTTCAAACAGCTGAAGGGACAGGGGCGGCTTGTGTTCTCCTCCTGGGCAGCTTTGAATTGCAAGGCGGGACGAGGGGGGCGGGCGGGGGGAGCATGGAGAAGAGGCGGTTCCAGATCTGGGCTCTTGGTGCCCTGCGCGTTCAGCGCTCCTCTCGCCTGCTCTCCCCTCCAGCCGAGCAGCGGCCTGGAAGGAGGCCAAGGGCCGGACTTTAGATTTGCAATTTCACTGGGACTTTTGCCCGAGCGGGGCGTTGCAGGAGGCTCCAGAAAGCCCTTTCCGGTCCTATCCTGGGAACGGAAATGACTTCTCCTGGGCCTCCGTCACAGAGGCACCCTAGTGCCCCTTCCTGGGCAGGGCTGGGGTTGGTAGGGAGGGCTTCCTGCAGAAGGGGAGGGGGCCCAGGAGCCCCTGCCCTGACTCTCCAATCCTTTGCCTCCAGCCTTGGGATAGTGCAAAGAAGGGACTTTGTCCAAGTTGCTCTTGGTGTGAATCCAGGCCAGGCGAAACTGGGGCATTGGTACAGAAGCCGGGAGTAAATAAACCAGGTTTGCAGGTCCCGTCTAAGCAGCTTAACCAAGGAAAGATGGAGTAGATCTGGAGCTACTAACATTCCCCCGGCAGGCTTGGTCTTTGCTGGGCCAGCTCAGCCACAGGAGGTTTTGTGTGGATTGTGTGTGGATTGATACAAGGAGCAGACAGGGTCCTTTGAGAAGAGGGGGGGGGGGGTCAAGCTGTTTTCCAAAGCACCCGAAGGTCAGACAAGGAATAATGGATGGAAACTGACCAAGGAGAGATTCAACCTGGAAATAAGGAGAAACATCCTGACAGGGAGAGCAATCAAC